TTTATTGTATGCAACTTGTATATGATTATCAATACCCAAAATAATACTCGATACAATACTAATACAATTATAATACGATGATATTTGATTTTTAGTGTAGAGTTGTGGTTAAAACTTGAAGAAGTGAAGATCATAATTGTATCAGAATTTTTCAGAAATGTATCACAATAGTATTATAGTTGTATATGTATCATAATTGTTGCAGGAATTGTATTATAAGTGTATGATAATTGTATATTATTATGAGCAGTTGTGAGTTCGTGACGAATTTCACAGTTTGTATCACAAATATATGATAATTGTATGTTAATTTATTAGTAATGTATCAGGTATTATTTTGGGTATTAATGTACCAGAAACAAGTTAGATACAATTGTGATACAAGTATGATGCAATAATGTTTATTGATTGATGTATCTAATACAATTCATATACAATTATAATATAGTTATCATACAATTCCTGAATATTTCTTCATTTTTTAGTGTTGTCCAGTCTCCCAACAAAAGAACGATATATATAATATATATATATATATAAATGTATCACAATAGTATTATAGTTGTATATGTATCATAATTGTTGCAGGAATTGTATTATAAGTGTATGATAATTGTATATTATTATGAGCAGTTGTGAGTTCGTGACGAATTTCACAGTTTGTATCACAAATATATGATAATTGTATGTTAATTTATTAGTAATGTATCAGGTATTATTTTGGGTATTAATGTACCAGAAACAAGTTAGATACAATTGTGATACAAGTATGATGCAATAATGTTTATTGATTGATGTATCTAATACAATTCATATACAATTATAATATAGTTATCATACAATTCCTGAATATTTCTTCATTTTTTAGTGTTGTCCAGTCTCCCAACAAAAGAACGATATATATAATATATATATATATATAAATGTATCACAATAGTATTATAGTTGTATATGTATCATAATTGTTGCAGGAATTGTATTATAAGTGTATGATAATTGTATATTATTATGAGCAGTTGTGAGTTCGTGACGAATTTCACAGTTTGTATCACAAATATATGATAATTGTATGTTAATTTATTAGTAATGTATCAGGTATTATTTTGGGTATTAATGTACCAGAAACAAGTTAGATACAATTGTGATACAAGTATGATGCAATAATGTTTATTGATTGATGTATCTAATACAATTCATATACAATTATAATATAGTTATCATACAATTCCTGAATATTTCTTCATTTTTTAGTGTTGTCCAGTCTCCCAACAAAAGAACGATACAATTGACGACAATGGTGGGAAGAGAGAAGATGGAGATTCTTGGCATAGATTAAGGGATTTTGATGTAAAAAAAAGGAGATGAGAGAGGAAAGGAAAAAAAAGAAGGAAATAATGTAATTGAATCTCTTAATTGAAGGCACTAATAATGGGGTGAGAGCCTTTTAAGGAGCAATGTATACAATTTGTAAGAAAAATCTAGATGCTTATTAAAAATAAAAATTACAAAACATCAAGAACATAGGTAAATAAGTATAGTATAACTAGGTAAAAATCCCCAAAATAAACACATCCAGTTTCGGGACGGCCTTTTGGATTGATTTGTAGGTTAAAATCACTTTTAGCCGACGGTCAAAATTATTTATATTCGGTAACAACAAAAATATATAAAATTTGTATATTTTTTGTATATAACATACAAATATGTGTGTGAGGTGGATGGAACATGGAAATGTAGGAATATATTATAAAAAGTAGTTTATTTTCCAGGTTCTTTCTTTCATGTAATTTTCTTGAACAAATAGGATTTAAATCCTATCAGGCAAATGAAATTTTGGCTTCAAAATAATTAGTTCATAAAGAGAATTAGTCTTTAATAATGTTACCTGTCAATCTAATTTTTTTCACTTCTACTCAACTCTTCTTCAAAAGTTAAAAGTGATTTCGAAAACTAACTTACGTAACAATATATACAGTTATCATTCACCAATTAGCGTAAAAGTAAGAGAAAGTTAAAGTCATTATGTACATTTTGAAAAGCTTCTATAATTGATGTAGAGAAGATATAGCAAATCAAGCTTTTTATCACTGTTTAAGGACAAAATGGTGTCGATTACATTACTATTGAGCTTTAGCGTCAATTAGCTAATGATCACCATCTATGAAACTCCTTTAGGTCCACCAATTGGCAATTGCAATAATACGCTTGAGTGATTATAGCTTGATCAATTTTCCCAACATTTTCTTCTCTAAATCTTTTCTCAGTTTCTTGGCTTATTTCTTTAGTGTTGAAAATTTGGGGCCTAGCCATGTGACCTTTTGTTTTATGTGGGAGTGAATAGGAAGATGAGCAGAAGAAAAAAAGAGGCAAAAGCTCTTATGAGTTTTGAACTTTGCGCCATTTAGTGATTTAGATACAATGTGAAACTTAAACCAATAGACCAGAATTAAGGTATTAATGTTTTTTCCACTTCTTTTCAATTTATCTTTAAATTTCATAGGTCTGTGATAAGTTTTAATATTTTGAGTTTTGATAATTTGCCAAAAAGTCTCGAAAAATTAGATGTGATCAGTTCATTTGGCCTTGTTATGTTATATTATATCATGTTTTGATGCCAAGCCAAACGTTCTCGAGGAACCAGATAGGGATGTGATCAGTTCCTCAGTCGTCGTACAGTCAATTCTACATCAATAAAAGTTGTTTCACTGTACCGACTAGCAGCAGTGCACTGGCACAGCCGCTGCTTGCTAGAGGCCAAACCGCAAGATGAATTGTCCCTATCTATTCTCACATGCTCTCTCATATATAAACAACATAATACAAGGTTTGATCTAACACTTGCAAATATGAAAATCACATTTTCTCAAGTGCTAGCCGCCACTGCTCTCAAGGTGCATTCAAGAACAAAGCTGCTACAAAAACTCAAGGACCAGATCCCAAAGCTGAAAATGTCTTTTAAGTCCTTAAGTTTGTTGTGTCTTTGCCTTTTGCTCGTTACTTGTAATCCTACGTTACCTTCGAGAAGTGCTTTAGGATAAAATTCAACCATTGTGGTTTTGGTTTTCTTGACTAGAATTAGTCCACATGTGTTTGCTTTGTAATAGAGTAATTGCAAAGAGCTTGCAATAGAGTTATTGTAAGGAGTAAGGGATTAAGAGTTTAATTCCTATATTGCAATCGGTTGTAATCTCAAGTTGCTCGGTTTAATGGAGTTGAGATCCTACTAGGGTATGTCGTGATTTTTAATCCCTTGAGCAAATAGTTTTCCACGTAAATATTATATGTCTTTTACTTTCTCTCTTTACTGTGGAAACAGATAAAACACCTGATTTTTTATACCGTTTGGTGGACTCCTATTTCTACCGGCCTGGACATTGTGCAATCCGTTTAGATCTATTTAGTTGCCACTGAAATGGAATATGAGAAAATATGAACTTTTGCTTTCGTAGGGGAAATTCTTGAAAGGGATACTAGTACGCCTTTCATGGATACTCAATTCTTATCTTTGTTTGGGGGGGGGGGGGGGG